CTATTAATTAGATGTTAATGTAACTTAAGACAGAATAATTGTATTCCAGATCACTGTAAATATACACAAACATAGACTACACAATAAAATTGCTAATATTCTTTAAAAATACAATTTAAAATTTATTGAATGTGACAATTTATACACCTTCAGTCTTATGCAATTAATACATTAGCTATACGGTATTGCATAAACTATGCATTGTTGCATAACTAGAGGTAATTAGTTAACATAAATATAAATTACTGAAATAGGAAAAATACTCTGTATATCCTAATCAAAACCTAGATGAGTTAAACAGGATATTGATGTTTAAATTACTTCTATTCTACTACAGATGCACTACAGTGTTTGCAAGTGTTTTAGACAATGAATAATTCCATTTAGTGTGTGTGTGTGCAGTGTAGATGTTTATATTTTATTATTCGTCTGCCCTTCACTGTAGGATTAGACCTTCTTCCCCTTCTACTCTGGAGTGTAGATGATTGGTCTTCCTTTTTACTCTACCTTTAAGTGTAGATGATTGGTCTTCCTTCTTACTCTACCTTCAAGTGTAGATGATTGGTCTTCCTTTTTACTCTACCTTTAAGTGTAGATGATTGGTCTTCCTTCTTACTCTACCTTCAAGTGTAGATGATTGGTCTTCCTTCTTACTCTACCTTTAAGTGTAGATGATTGGTCTTCCTTCTTACTCTACCTTCAAGTGTAGATGATTGGTCTTCCTTCTTACTCTACCTTAAAGTGTAGATGATTGGTCTTCCTTCTTACTCTGCCTTCAAGTGTAGATGATTGGTCTTCCTTCTTACTCTACCTTCAAGTGTAGATGATTGGTCTTCCTTCTTACTCTACCTTCAAGTGTAGATGATTGGTCTTCCTTCTTACTCTACCTTCAAGTGTAGATGATTGGTCTTCCTTTTTACTCTACCTTTAAGTGTAGATGATTGGTCTTCCTTCTTACTCTACCTTCAAGTGTAGATGATTGGTCTTCCTTCTTACTCTACCTTTAAGTGTAGATGATTGGTCTTCCTTCTTACTCTACCTTCAAGTGTAGATGATTGGTCTTCCTTCTTACTCTACCTTAAAGTGTAGATGATTGGTCTTCCTTCTTACTCTGCCTTCAAGTGTAGATGATTGGTCTTCCTTCTTACTCTACCTTCAAGTGTAGATGATTGGTCTTCCTTCTTACTCTACCTTTAAGTGTAGATGATTGGTCTTCCTTCTTACTCTACCTTCAAGTGTAGATGATTGGTCTTCCTTCTTACTCTACCTTTAAGTGTAGATGATTGGTCTTCCTTCTTACTCTACCTTCAAGTGTAGATGATTGGTCTTCCTTCTTACTCTACCTTAAAGTGTAGATGATTGGTCTTCCTTCTTACTCTGCCTTCAAGTGTAGATGATTGGTCTTCCTTCTTACTCTACCTTCAAGTGTAGATGATTGGTCTTCCTTCTTACTCTACCTTCAAGTGTAGATGATTGGTCTTCCTTCTTACTCTACCTTAAAGTGTAGATCTTGTGGTATAATTTGTCATTTTCAACTCAGAATTATAATATTTATCCTTATTTTTTAACCCCTGTCTTTTGATTACTGTCATTGACAGACTGTGGATGATTTGTTTTATTTTAGCATTATTATACATACATTGTTTGAATTTTTTTTTCTGATATGAGATAACTAACAGATTTCCATGCTATAATATGATTGGTGACTGTGGCTTAGGCATTGTGAATGTACTTTGTAATTCCGAGGTATCTGATTTGATTCCAGCTGTGTAGGATTTGGCAGTAGATAACTTTTTGATGTAGGTATCAAGAGCCGACCTGAACCTAAAATTCCCTAGTAAAACCAAACAGCCAAAACAATGCTGGGTTTGGTTCTGCAACATTGTTATCCTAGAGATGTGTGCTGTTGCAACAAACTACAAGTATGCCAGTACATGCAACAAATTTTGATGCTGCATCAGCAAAACACACTAGAAAGAGGAAGTAGATAAAAAGCTCTCATAGTACAGTTGTAAAAATAACATGTAAAACCAATTCAGCTTTTTCTCATGATCCTTTCAGCTTACAAAAACTGAAATTGATTATAGAGGAACTGACGGGCTACATTTTCCTCCATTTCCAGTTTTTCCTGATACTGAATTTTATGGTCGGAGGTACTGACGGCTACTTCCGCGACGACGGTAACTGCGGGGTGGGGAAACCCTGGGCCAACACTTCCTCATATGCAGCCGGTGACTTCTGGGGCAACAGAAATGCCTGGTTGCCCATCTGACTTTGAGTTGAGACCGCTCTCATTGTCGCCTATGTTGAGTTCACAGTTTAGTCAAATCAGATCTGTTATTATGTTTGCAATGTTTACATCAGGGACACAGAGACTTAATATATATGTTAAAATCTTTATATTTACAGCTAAACTTTTAGAAGATAATCTCTTCCTCAAAGGTTGATAATAAAACTAGTTGTTCAGCATAGAATCCATTTTCCTATCAGAATTAATGTGACATGAATTAATGTATTAATTAATGAAACACTGACAGATGATTACTTTTTGAAGACTGTATTATAATTCACAGGAAAATAATGGACAGGAACTATATTAGTTTGACACAATCTGTAAATCTGAACAAAAAGAAATTAAAGAAAAGACACAAATATTATAATTCAGAGGAAAATAATGAACAGGAACTACATTAGTTGGACACAATCTGTAAATCTGAACAAAAAGAAAAGACACAGCTATTATAATTTGGAGGAAAATAATGGACAGAAACAACATTAGTTTGACACATTCTGTAAATCTGAACAAAAAGAAAACAAAGAAAAGACACAGATATTATAATTCAGAGAAAAAAAATGGACAGAAACTACATTAGTTTGACACATTCTGTGAATTTGAACAAAAGTAAATGAAAGAAAAGACACAAATATTATCATTGAGAGGAAAATAATGAACAGGAACTACATAAGTTTGACACAAACGCCAAAGGGCACGACTCTGTATCCCTGTCTAGACTGATGGACAGGGGGAGCTGCAAGAAATGAACATGTCACTAAGGGGGCAAGACCAGCACAGAACAGGCGTCATCTGTCGTTTTAGACTTGTGGAGCTTTTGAGGAGATCGGAGAACCTATGGATCTGTCCAGGAGGCTGTGATGATAATCCTTTCTAATCACTAATCGGTGAATGTGAACAAAAAGAAAAGACACAAATAGCTGATTGCAATGTTTATTGTCAGGCATATTTCTCTTCTCTCATCAGGTCCACAATACAGAAATAAATAAGATGAAGCAAGGAAATTGTTCTTTTTGGCAGAAATGTAAAACACATATAATTACTTAGACACTCAAATATAACAGTCCATGTTAACAGATTAATCACAAACCATTCACAGTGTCCTTCCATTTACACTGTGGTGGACAATGGCAGCATTGGAAAACCAAAGTTGTAGGGGTCAGGAAATCTTTAAAACATATTACAGCTGGTAAAAGACATTGAATGTGGCAATCTATACCCCTTTAGTCTTATACAGTTAATCTGGTCTGGTAGTCTTAGTTTCAGCTTCATAGCAAACGGGTCACCCCATCTTTGCTCCGCTCCTGTGCCAACGAAAAACACATAGAATGTTCATCACAGTATTAGAATTGCAGTTTATCACTGATGGTAGCAGAAGTCGCCAACAGATCAGCAGTTGCCCACGCGATCAATTGTAATCACATACTGGCACCACAACAGTGCATGACAGGCATCGCGCCATTTTCTGAATCTACAATTCACATCAACACGTTGGTCACAGTCGAAAAAACATTCCAAATGCAATCCGCAGCTCACAGGGTCACGCCATGCATTCAACTCAGAAGCTGGGCGACGAAACTATATCCAGTCTACAAATGGAGCAAAAATGCATCGGCCACCGTCCGGCAGAAGCAAAAAATTTGCCTCTGTTTCGAACAGTGCCGCTGCCTAACGTCCATTTTGACCGGAAGTGTATTAGCTGTATTTTTACATTTACATTTTAACAATATTTTGTAATCAAATTTTAAACAATATATTGTAATCAGAATTACTACAGACATTTATATTTATAACAATATAGTGTAATCAGAATTACTACAGACATTTATATTTATAACAATATAGTGTAATCAGAATTACTACAGACATTTATATTTGTTACAATATATTGTAATCAGAATCACTACGGACATTTACATTTATAACAATATTTTGTAATTAGAATCACTACAGACATTTACATTTATAATAATATTTTGTAATTAGAATCACTACAGACATTTACATTTATAACAATATTTTGTAATTAGAATCACTACAGACATTTACATTTATAACAATATTTTGTAATCAGAATTACTGCAGACATTTACATTTTATGACATCTTTTTGAATCAGAATCTGTGATATGATGAAATAATTCATTAACTCTTTGAGTCCCAGAGGGTTTAGCATCACAGGCCCAAGGGGTAGTCAAAAGAAACACAAAATCAGCGCATCATGCGTTCATTGGGCTTCTAGACAGTAACCTATGAACGTATGTTGCATTCCTTGGGACTCAGTTAAAAGGTAGGTTAATCACACATTTTTTCTGGGCATTCTGTTTATTGTTCATACATCAGAAAATCTTTCAGTCGATTCTTCCATTAATTTCTGTCATCTGCAAACTTTCAGATATCATGGATGGAATGCAGTCAGCACTTCTGGCCTCTGTCACCAACTTTCAAAATAAGTTTTTCTTGAGCATCTGTCCATCCATTTTCCCATTTTAGTGCCAATTTTATTATTCTTTGTTTATTTTACACAGTATGATCCCGTGTGTCTTTGTTTTCTTTGTCTTATAAGTGTTAATACTAAACGTTGTACTGACATTTCTTTAATTTATTTTTTCAAGTTAGCTCTATTTAATGTTCAAGAATTTCCTCAGACTTTGTTTGCACAAAAGAGCAGAAATTCAAGAGGTAACTGAAAACATTTAAAACTTGTATTATTTTACCTTTTTAGTTTGGCCAACAAATATTTTCTCCAGACTGAGCAAGGGAAACTCAACAAGGACTGCGAGGACGCCAGCTACCACACATGTGTAGAACAGACTTGCTGCAGCAAACGCAGCCTAGAGCACAGTTTAAGGGTATTCATTAGTCTCTCTCTCTCTCTCTCTTTCTAGAAAAGCTAACTACTTGATGAGTGTCACACAAAGCAGGAACTCTATAGCTCTAGTGATGACCCCCCCCCCCCCCCCCCCCAAAAAAAGGGGGGGGGGGGGGGTCTCCAGTAAATATTGTGTTCGAGAACGAAATGACACAGATTGTGAATCAGACTAATAACTTTCAAAGCATGGGACAAATGGTTGAACCATTTAGCCATGAAAAGCAAGTTAATCACAGGTGTGTCATCAGTTCTAACAGAGATCAGGTGGGCAGTCCAGACCCTACTATAAGCTGATATGTGTGGTGCTACACCTTAGTTCAGTGGCTGTAGTTCATAACACCCATTTTATTTTTCAAAAGTCTGCTACAGATGCCATGTTTTTAATAGCCACACTGGAGAACTTGTAGATATTAGTTAGAATCGCAACAAGCATTTTCTTCTTCTTCTCGTTCACTGGCTGTAAACTCGGACAGAACGCCGTTGTTATTTATTCACTTCAAGATTTTATGTTTGCCGCCGACTGAAACTCTTAATCTTAGTCTTAGTCGAGGTTTCAACTTCACTGCAATCCAGTAAGTCCAGGGATAATCCAGAAATGTGCACACGCAGTAAATTCATATTTCAGTTGCTAGAGGCGCCAAAGCCAACAGTTGACACCAGAAATGCAGTTTAGCCTTAATGGAAGCAGTCGGCCGACTGAGAAAAACAACCCTCATAACCTCACAATAATTCAAACCTGGATTTCCCGCATGAAAGCTTTTTTAAACTGTTCGGTCAGCTGCTGCTGCGATGGTCCCTTAACTCAGGCAACCCTTTTTATTTCATGCAAAGCTTTCTATAGTAGGACACAGCCAGTCTCATTCCGCTCCCACTTTATCACTTGTTGTTGCATACATGGTTGGTATACCTATAGTGCGTCCCAATGTCAGACGTTTGTCAGACGTAACTTTTTGATATTTTAAAACCCCACCCACGAGGGCCCTAATATAACCCAGCCAATTGGTTAAACAGGGTTGCCGGAACCTGTCCCCAGGTGATCCTCATTCGAATGATGGCACTTTGTGTTATCGGGTATTTATTGCTCGATGTGATGTCCTTGTGGCGTTGAACATGGGAGTCAGTCATACATGGGAGGTCAGTCAAGTAACATTTGCCGTCTCCACTGTAAAGGTCAGTCAAGTAACATTTGCCGTCTCCACTGTAGAGGTTAGTCAAGTAACAATTACCGTCTCTACAGTAGAGGTTAGTCAAGTAACATTTACCGTCTCTACAGTAGAAGTCAGTCAAGTAACATTTGCCGTCTCCACAGTTGAGGTTGGATGCAACGTAGCCACTGCTCATTATGGGAATATTACATTTCCAAGGTGTGAGTCTCGTACCAATGTCTCAAGCCACGAGAATGGTCTTTTTCCAAACCATCTGCCCCGAGAATTGAAAACTCTTGAACGTCGAGAACTGAATTATAAAACATTAACCAGACTTCTAGGCCTCAGAGCGGCACATACATGGTAGGTTACAGTGATACTATGCTTTGCTTCCCTTATAGTTCCCAGGAACACTTAGCTTAGTGCCTTTTATCCCCGACAGAGCATAGCCTATCAACCAGTGCTTTATTAATATCGTACCCCCAGATGACATCACAGGACAGTCCAAGAGGGTGGCCAGACTGGATTTCCCGGCTTTTTTATGCTTTTAACAACCCCAAATCATCTAGAACTGACCCTAACACCCACCCACCCACGTCACACGAGAGAGTGCAGCCTATCTACCACTCCCTGAAATCTTAGACGGTCGTGTGACCTGAGGATTTCCCCTGTTTGGGGTAGGATAATAATAAAGCACCCATCAACCAACACGTCCAGCTCTTTGCTATCACAATTTCGCCTCAATCTCTGTGTATGTTTCTCGTCTGCTTGTATTGTTTTATCTTTGCCTTGCCAGTGACAAGCTCTGTCGAGAAAAGAGGTGGGTTGAGTGTAAGGCCAGTTCCCTCACTCGGTGATTTTTTTTCCCCCTGCAGAATTTTGCAGGAAATGTCTGAGGAAAACATTAAATATAAATGGGATGCATTCAAGAGGGCTGAAGGAATAAGAGAAATGTCCGGTCAACTACTGGTAACAACAGTTATAAAACAAAGAATGTAGCTCTATATCGGATACACCCTGACAAGAAAATCGCAAAACAGGCATTAAAATAGGAAACAAACAAATTGCAAAAGCAAAGAAACCATAAAACGAACTCTTATGAGAGAGGACACAATTGCTGAAGTGGATTCCGTTCATGATATTGAAGAGACCGTATAGAATAGGAAGGAATGGTGGAATATAAAGCCAGCCCTGTGTGGCAAAAAAATGGCACAAAAGGACAGTGACGATGAAGATGTATTCCTGTGACTAAAAATACTAAAAATAATGTGACAGGTTCTAAGAATATCTTGGGTAAAGAAAAGAACAAATGCATCCATACTTCAAGAGCTGAATATTGAAGAGGGTTGGCTAGTAAAGACAATAAAACAAAGAAAATTGAAATATTTTGGTCACTTGAAACGTCATGGAAGTCTGGAGAGAACAATAATGGAGGGGTATATGCCTGGGAAGAGAGGAAGAGGAAGGCCAAGGAGAAGATGGGTGCAGGATGTGGCAGATGATCTCCAGATGGGTGTATCGGACGCAGGACATCTTGCTCAGGATAGGAAGGTTTTCCGGAGGGTTGTTATGGCAGCGAGGTTCCGCGAGGGACATGCTACTGAATGAATGAATGAATGAAAAATACTTACCGTGGACCATAGATTAATGTATACATATCGTTCCAAATTGGCAAAGATGACGTTCATGATGCAGATATGCACCAGGTAGCCCATGTATGTGATCCGACTGAGTACAGTGAATGGGGTCCAACTAAGTATAGCATTCACAGGACCTGTCAATGTATGCATACATATACTGGTGAACATAATGCTTGTGTGTTTTTGCATGTGTGAAAGTGAAACAAAGTCCTCTCTCCAACCGGTGGAGTATCGAATATTGTTTTAGAACAAACATTTGGTCTAACCGATACTCAATAGAGATTTTGATGCATCATCTAGAGCTCCATTTTTTGTAACTGTATATTCTGGTACCCATTTCAAGACAGATTATGCAACACTAGTCATTCCTTTGTAGGATATAATTTTTTCGTAATTTTAAAGCCCCACCCTGGCTCTTGCCGGGGGCCGCAATATAGTCCGGCCATAAATATGACCTAATGGCTGAACGCGGTTTCCGGGACCTCTCCACGGGTGATCCTCATCCACATGGTGGCAATTTGTGTCATCAGGTGTTTATCCCTTGTGTGATGTCCTAGTGGGGTAAAATGTACTACTACTACTAAAGACAAACGAAATTACCCAGTAGCGAAATAGAAACGAAAAACTCTGTAACTCAATTATTACCCAGATTGGTTGAAAGCGATATCCTTGATTACTACTGCTGCTACAACTTTTATAACTGTGGTACTGCGTTACTGCTGCTACTGCTACTACCAACACTACTACTACTTCTCGCGGCTTTTTTTCCTAGAATAAAAAGGTGGAGGTACTCTTCGGCGTCTGTGGCTCAGGCGTTACGAACGCGCTTCGTAAGGCTGGGGTGCCTGGTTCGATCCCAGCTGTGGGCCTTGCGTTGTTTTTGACAGTGGAATCAAGAAGCCGACCGCCCAGTAAGCAATGACAAACTACTGAATATATATTTGTCTAGAAAAACCACAACAGCCAAAAAAAAAATAAAAATAAATAAATGCTGGGGTTGGTTCTGCAACGTCCTGTAAAGGACACGTACCTAAATAACTCACCATCAAATGTCAAAACCAGTACTCACAACAAAGTGTCTATTACAATAGTGCTGAAAACTATGATGCATAATAAACAAGATGCTGGTACTACGTACCATTGCGTACCCCAGAAAAAAATCCATGCGGACGCTGCTTCTGCAGCTACTACTGCGCAGACCATTAAAAAAATCTAACCGAATTCAGACACAAATACAAGACTTTTGGATCGGCTGGCAGTTATCTAACCTCTGCTTTACTATGATTCTTTTGCATGTGTGTTCATATGCATCATGTTCTGTGTAAGTAGGTGTGCCCACGGGTATATGGCAGGGGCTCTTTCTCTGCGTTGGACCTTAAAATGGCAGTCGACCATACTTCTCGTATCTCTATCTCTCTTGGACTTCTACTAATTCCCCCTGGTCTCTGGATAGTGAGATAGGACGCCCATGTGCATTGTTGCGCACGTAAAAAATCCCTTGGCAGTTTTAAATCGAAAAGAGTAGCATAACGGCGCTGCGTGGGTAACATTTGGAGTTAAAAATATACCCAAAAATATTTCCGGATGCTCTCTGGGGCTGCAGAGCCTGTGCACTGTGCTGAGTTTCTTCGGACTCAGACTTGAGTTAGAAGAAGAACGGAGGTCTTATGGTTTACTACCCGTATGCCATGATGTTGTTTCGTTGTTGAAACCTCAAACCTAAGTCTCTGTCTCACCCTGGACCATTTTGTTTTCTGTCCGTCCTTCTATCTTCTGTCGATTTCTCCAGTTTTCAAATGTCTCTCTTCTCATCACATGTCCAGAGAATACTGACTGTCTCTGTCATATAGTTGTCAATGATTTTTTACTTTTACCTACCCCCCCCCCCCCCACCCCTTCACACTCCCCTTGTGAGTTACATAGGATGTCCAGCTTATTTACATGTTGTGTTAACGTTTAAGCTAGGCTGCGATATCTGCGCCTCTCGGTCCAACACGTACAATTTCAGCAAATCATAAATTAGTCGCCTTTTACGACATACTTGTGAAGAGGCATTAGCTCCATTCTTTTCCCACCCCACCACAATGGAGCTCCGAACCGACAAGGGAAACCATGCGTTCTGAATCTTTGAAAGAAGTTACGAGTTTTCAGGAATATTCCACAGATGCTCATCTGGTAAAATCTCGAGCTTTTAGGTACACTTTTTAATTATTTTCTGGTGCTTGTAGGGATAATCAATCACTGTTTACAGGAAACCGTGAGTTTTCTGGGATGTTTCATAGATATTTCATGTTGCGCTTCAAGGGCTGTCAAATCACTGTTTAAGGCAGTCTTTAGTTTTTAGAAACAGTTTAGAGGCATCTGATTGATGTATCAATGGCATTGGAATGGACTTTTATAAAATTTCATTAATGTTCAATGTTAAAAAAGAAAAAAAAAGCAACAAGTCTGGCTCAAAGTAAACGGCCCCATTTGACTCATGGAACGCATATATTTTTTTTTTAAACGAACCCAATCACAGATGCAGCGGGGAGTGACGAAAGGTCCTAGCAGATGCTCGAGGCTCAGAGGAAAGGCAAGACAAACGTTTAATCAGAATACTACTGCCACCATTGGTATCGGAACTCTTCACTGGCTGCTGAAGATGGGGACGGAGCGCCTATGGGAATGCCCCGAGTGCTGTTATGTCGGTTCTTGAATCAACTCAACATCATCAGAGGCCTCAAGCCAGATACCACAGTCTTTGTTCTAGCTGGTCTCGTAATAGTTTTCGACAAGATATCCGTTATTCACACAGGACATGTTTCTTCTTAACGGCTGAGTACCCTAGTACAACTGATGTAAACAGCTAAAGGGGGTGTTCGGTGTTTACTCAGTTGGATTGACATCCGGAAAGTGGCTCTTTGAATCTTTCAGGCTACAATCTCGGATGGAGAAATCAAGTAAACAGATAAATAAAATTAACCTTGCCCCATGTATGAGGTGAACATCCTAGAATAAAATTATGTGGGGAAGCGGTAAACACAATTAAATAATAAAATATATTTGAGCATGCACACGTCCAACTGTCTGTGCATACCTCCATATCCAGACACACAAGCAACGATGATCCAGAGGACAGCGGCGGCCCAGATACTCCTCTCTGTGACGCTGTAGAGTGTAGTCAGAGAGCTGTTGGTGCCGTGACCAGGATGGCTACAGGCAACTGTGTAAACTGCCACTGTTGCAAGAGTCCAGCCAATAATTACCTGATTCTTTAAACAACAAAAACAACATTAAAAAATAGACTATATAATCGATAACATCGTGAGAAGAGGGAAACTGGAGTATATTTTGACAACGAGAAAGTTGGTAGAGAAGAGAAGCATACGTGAAGAGTCAATTTTGGAAAGTTGGAAAAGGTCTGAGGACACGAGACAGAAGGCTGTAAAAACATGACAATAAACAACATACAACAGGGACTATATAAAGAAAAAGAGTTTGTTTGCTGTATTTCAATGGTAATTTTATTTTAAAACATCTACCAAGAAAAAAATATACAATAAATAAAAGTGTCGAAAGCGGGATTTTAACCTACGTCTATGATCTTCTTTTTCATCTTTCTCTATCTGCATTAGTCTTGATAACTATTTTAATTTAATTGTTTGTCTGTATTTGTTTTTACTCTTTACATATTTTCTTTAGCGACAAACGTGACATTATTATTTATATTGTTGTTAATGAGATTATTTTGAACTGTTAGTTTATTGATAATTTATAATTATAATCGGTGCCGATTGTTTATAAAATATCTGCAACTTGTACTTTCTCATGCAAATAATGTTTTTAGTTTGTGTGCCGCCCTTAAAAAAATTCGTTGTTGTTCAAGGAACCTGAACTTTCAGATTCTGGGGCCTCCACCCTTCCTTGTCAGTGAGTCTATGTTCCCTGTACCCTTTCTTGTCTATGTGTTTATATTCTCTCCATCCTTCCTTGTTTGTGTGTCTATGTTCCCTCCACCCATCCTTGTCTATGTGTTTATATTCTCTCCACCCTTCCTTGTTTGTGTGACTATGTTCCCTCCATCCTTCCTTGTCTAGTTGTCTGTGTTCCCTCCACCCTTCCTTGTCTATGTGTAGATGTTCCCTCCATCCTTCCTTGTCTAGTTGTCTGTGTTCCCTCCACCCTTCCTTGTCTATGTGTAGATGTTCCCTCCATCCTTCCTTGTCTAGGTGTCTGTGTTCCCTCCACCCTTCCTTGTCTATGTGTTTATATTCTCTCCACCCTTCCTTGTTTGTGTGACTATGTTCCCTCCACCCTTCCTTGTCTATGTGTTTATATTCTCTCCACCCTTCCTTGTTTGTGTGACTATGTTCCCTCCATCCTTCCTTGTCTAGTTGTCTGTGTTCCCTCCACCCTTCCTTGTCTATGTGTAGATGTTCCCTCCATCCTTCCTTGTCTAGGTGTCTGTGTTCCCTTCACCCTTCCTTGTCTATGTGTAGATGTTCTCTATTCTTCCTTGTCCCTTTCACTGTAGCAACAGAGTCGGAACACAAATTAAGCTACACAGACACCGCTGAAACTACCTACCCTGGACATTTTGACACGTCCTCCTTTAGCGGACAAGATGTAGGCAGTTAAAATCCCCATGGCAAACGGGGCGACCCTAGTGTAGCAGTGGATGTAGTAGTATGCCATCCATTCAGTGGTGATGCTGCAGGATAAAGTACATCGTTACTACATTGGTTACCTGTGTCCAGAGCCGTCTTATCAACATTATGAGCAAACCAGTGTGCCAGTGGTCATTACTGTAACCACTCAAATGAATTAAATGTCAACAGTCACCTGACATACAAAGATTAGCATGGGCGCTCTCTGCTCGTGTGGACCGCTAGACAAATGCCCAGCGGGCCCCATGTGTTAAGACCCCTCCCCCTGTACCCGCCCATCCCCTCCATTGGTGAAAAAAAGTGGGAAGGGGAGGGGTGGGGGGGGGGGATATGTCAAACTGCATAGATTCTTCTGCAAGCCCGACGTGGCTTACATTAGAAATTTGTTGAAACGAAAAATTTGGTTGAAATGACAAACTGGGTTGACATGACGAAATTTGTTGACAAGATACACGAGGTTGACATTACAATCAAATTTGACACATTTTGCAGACATGCCAAACTTGATTTTGTGTGTGTGGGGTCAGGTTGGAAAAAAGGGGGAGGGGTTACTGGCATTGCAAACTGTTTGACACATACACACCCACGCACGCACGCACACACACACACAGACACAGACTCAGACACACACACAGACACACACACACATACACACAATTTATTAACATTATAAACAAAAATTGTTGACATGTCAAATTTAATTAACATGGGAATCTTAGTAAACGAGACGGAAAAGAAAAGTTGATACGACACACTTGACTAACCTTAAAAAGTCGTCGGTCCACTGGTAATGATGGTACAACCACCCAACATAGGTCCACTGTGCAACGACAAACAAAAGACAACTGAAAACTCCGGCCAGTCTGTGGCTGAAAGACAAAACCAGACCGGAAGACAAGGAATTACTGTTCGAGAAAATGTATTAGGTCTAATCTTGATCAGTCCCAGTTATTCTGTAGATGTTAGTTCTCCTCTATGATTTTTTATAAACTCCCTGCTGTGTTAAATCTTTCTCTAAACCTAGAAGTGTTAAATCTTTCTCTAAACCTAGAAGTATTAAATCTTTCACTAAACCTAGAAGTGTTAAATCTTTCACTAAACCTAGAACTAGAAGTGTTAAATCTTTCACTAAACCTAGAACTAGAAGTGTTAAATCTTTCACTAAACCTAGAAGTGTTAAGTCTGTTCTGAAACTCACAACAAACCCTAGTTAGATTAAATCGCCTTACCCTACTAGGTGTAATGCTTCGAAATATATCCAGGTATTATATAAGTCTCACATTATAAAGCTTCTACATCGACACGGAATGACAGTAGCCATTGCTGCCCACCAAGGAATGGATCGCAAACTGTTCCTCCCTGTATTGCTTAATGACAGAAGTGAAAATTAATAATGATAATGATGATGATGAAGAGGAGGAGAATGACATAAAACTCTCTACAGTCAAAGCTATTTTTTAAAGGCGAGACGGTTTCCATATACAATCAGACGGTTACTGGTGCCATTGGAATTAGAACTCTTCGCTTGCTGGTGAAGATGGGGACGGAGCACTTATTGGAAGAGTCCCAAGTGCTGTCATATCGATTCTTAATTCAGCATTCAATATTCGAAGCTTTTTAAAAATTGAGTACAGAGTCATGAGAATTGTGTAGTTCATGTAATGGGAAAACATATCAGCCAGAAGCAAAATCATTTATCAATTGCTAGCTGAAGCTCCAATTAAAACCATTTTATTGTTAAATGGAGAGAGAGAGAGAGAGAGAGAGAGAGAGAGAGAGAGAGAGAGAGAGAGAGAGAGAGAGAGAGAGAGAGAGAGAGAGAGAGAGAGAGAGAGAGTATTTTTGCTGAAGCTTGTATTTCCTAATGGTGGTAAGTAATTAGCAGGTCATATAACCTGTCTCAGAAATCTGCTCAAAATGAAAAGGCAAGATTGGATTCCAAATACTGTGGTTCTTGATAAGGCAAACCTGCCTAGCATCCACACGATACTGAAACATTGTAAGCTGCGTTGGCTTGTCACCTAACCCGCATGCCAGAATATCGCCTCCCAAAGAGTGTATTTTATGACGAGCTCCAGCAAGAGAAGAGGTCACAGGAAGGAAAAAAACAGCGCTATAAAGACTGAAGACTGCTCTCAATTCTTTTGGCATCAACACAGCGACGCGGGAGGTGCTGCACAAGACCGTTCTGGATGGCGTACGTCCCTCAGACATGGTGCATTGGCTTGCCAGGCAGCAGAGGTTGCACAGGCAGAAAAACGGAGGCAGGCTAGACAGAATCGTACTGCTAATCCCATACTTATGTGACAGTACCGAATACAGTCACGCATATTACAAGAAGAAAATAGAAGGAAAGAAACACACAGAGGAATAAGGAGGTATGGAGTCGCTTGAGAATAAGAAGATCGCTACATATATAACTACCCTGGGGGCATTGACTCAAAAGTCGACAAACAAAGACATAGGTGCGGGACAAAGCTAGGAGAACAGGAACGTTGTAGGCCAATATATCCATAAATTGTGGGGGAAAAAGAAACAAAGGTTAAAAGCACACTCAGCATTGGCCTAGAAAGACCGACAAAGATGCTGGTAGGATGGCCTCTAAGGGACAATTGAACTCAGAACTATAGTTGAGAATTTGCATAACTCATCAAGCTATGGAAAAAAACCCAGAAACCGAGACTGCTAGAGCAGCATACACCTACAAAGCTCTGAAAAAACTGCAACATTAAGAGAGAATGGCCAAGCTTAGAGAAATAGCGGGGGTTTTGGCCTAAAAGCTTACAAGGAACAATGGAAATCTGCAGACAGAGGAGCGGGAAGCAGGAAACAAATAGGTTATCTAAGGACAGAAACAATGGTGAGGCAAAGGGACTAATTTGCATATATTAAAGAGGTGCTGAAACTCTGAGTCAACATGAAGAAGTAGGACAATACCTAACGACATACCTACTCAGTCTATATTGTAGACTGTAACCATTATCTTTTATGATCTTTAACGGTTCCTCATTTTCTCTTATATCTCTCTAAACTGCTCTTTCATAATTTAAGCCTTTCAAAAAAGGTAAAACACTCTGGGACACTTACTGTGGCTTCCATTTGATGTCCGCACTGCTCAAGCATTCTCCTGGCTCCTTTTGGACTAATCAGCCACCTTCGCACTCATAATCATTCATCATTACTACTTTGGATGAAAGTGGTCTTCATCGCTCGTGATGGACGAACAACAAGTAATTAAGAATGTAGTTTGTTTAATAAACACATTCCACGTCGCTGCTTGATGCATACCGATTTGGTAGACCGTCGAGTAGTGAAGAAACATCCCTAAAAAACCAGGACATTATACACATAAGTCCGAAAATATATGTAAGAAAGTTTGCTCAACAGGTACACTGTCAACGAGGGGGGCTGCGTGGTCTCAAGGTATGGCATCCGCCTCGAGTGCTGGAGGTCACTGCCATAAAAAAAGAGTGCTGAAAACATAAGCATAATAGACACAACCATACAATGTATTTTTACTGCACACAGATACTGAAAGACAAGCAACACTCACTAGTAAAAGGGAATCAACATCAACGGACTGAGTAGGTAGAACTGCATGTCAACAGCCAGGCTCCATGTCTGCCCCATACACTGAATAAAAAAAAATAATGCTTGTATATTGGAAAACGTATATTATGAAAGAGAAACAGAAAGGCAGAGAAAGAGAGAGAGAGAGAGAGAGAGAGAGAGAGAGAGGAGAGAGAGAGAGAGAGAGAGATAGAGAGCGCGAAAGAGAGAGAGAGAGAGAGAGAGAGAGAGAGAGAGAGAGAGAGAGAAATAGAGAGAGAGAGAGTAACAAGTGAAGATTGTTGGCTAAATTAATAACTAGATATGTCAGAGTAAAAGGCAATGAACGAGCGGACCAGCTGGCAAAAAATTCATCAATATACACAGAAAGAAACATGTCCAGAACTAATATCATCAACGGTGTACGTCAGAGTTATTCAAATTTTGGCCCGCGGTCCGAACCTGGCCCGCGAAGGCCTAGCAAATAGTCCGCGGATCATTGCCAGCTGTGTTGTATTACTGATCTGTATATTCTTGTGCTCGCCCCTCTGATTCCCAGTGACGATTCACAGTTTCAAAATGTTGGTCCCTGAGTAAACTTGGTTGAATAGCCCTGCTGTATATACTAGGCTAGACGATAATGATGCAACTCTGATGCTAACACTATTGCGTCCCCTGGGAGTACAGCTTGGTGAAGCACCTCTACGCCGTTTCCAAGGTAATGATAGGAGACATTATAAATGAATAGCTGCTGCATCAGAGGACTAAGCACGCATGGCAACGCTGAGTGTGCAGCTGCGTCGATTGTGATAACATAACACAATACACAACACTAACTAAAATAACTGAAGGCAGGCGAGCAAGAGGTGGACATTGATAAACATGAGAGGATATCAAGAGCTATCTCAGAAAGTTTACAATCTGGGTAAGATCAAGATAGCCAGCGCTGGAGAAGGATCCATCGCAGCAACATCTTACTGTTCCATCTTACTGTGCCATCTTACTGTTCCATCTTACTGTTCCATCTTACTGTGCCATCTTACTGTGCCAAAGGCTGTTTGGCAGATCGACCGACTGACTTATTAAACATGAAACTTGAACAACGGAATAAGTACATATGGTCACCACTAAATGTTGTGGAACCTCTGTCTTGCTCATGTTTTCGTTAACCAAAAAGACAAATGAGCTTTGGATAGGGTGACCATAATATCTTGAGCTGAAAACAAGACACTTCAAACAAGTCAGTTTAACCATCCACTTTTTTTTTAAGCTCACCGGGGTGAGCTGGTTAATTATTGGTCGAGATTCTTATTACGTATCTATAGTAATCTAGTACATGCATAATTGCCGATGATAGCCAGTGAAGGCAATACAACGTGACATAGACTAGCCGGTGTGACAGGTGAGTAAGCATTATTGAAATGTCAACCAGTGTGTATTTGGGCCGGAAAAGGTAAAAAGCATCCTAGTCGACAATGGTATTTATTTAAAAAAAAGTATGGTCTATACTGCAATTAAAAAACAAACATGTTACAATAAAAATGCTCACAAATACATTTCAAGCATTAAAAGTATCTTAAATTATTAAATCTTATAAGTTCTACATATGTAACTGTAAATGTATGTTCTATTCTTAGGCTGCTTAAAAAATGCACAATTGGCGCCTTTTTTCTTGTTGTGAGTACCGACGTGACAGCCGGGAGACTGACAAAACATTACTGTCCTGTGAAAACGGGATGTTGGTATAGTTTGAGCTTTGAGTGTACTGTAAATACAGCGTTGACGTGATATTTGTTTCAGACTAATCAGAACTCAGTGGGGAAAGGAGGTTGATATGTTATCGTCCGATTTTGCTTCCTAAAACAGTTCCTGGTAGCTAATTTAAGCCTTGGTCGACATGGAAGTCACCGCGATAACAGAGATGGACAAGCAAAACAATGGACCGGCGAGAACAAGAATAAACAGATCTAGAGACCGCTAAAGGGTGTAACAAGTGTAACAAAGGGCTAGTAGACAGAAAGATAAACATATCTATAGAAGATAGTATGACAAAGATAAGTGAGTCAAATTAAACCCCACGTATAATGAGAGAATTACGCCATGTGACGCAAAGTGCAATGCGTCATTACTCGAATGAGAATCCCTCTGTTCAAATCCCATGAACCCTATTCAACCGTAAGCTTATATTAGGAACTAGACGTTTACGAAGTAACCATAAGTCAAATCGGAGTGGGGCTATAATATCGAAAACGTTTGCCCCATATCGGACCTGAGTTGCTGATAAGGATACAGAAGGCCAAGTAAATATAAGAATGTTGGCGTATAGGGCTTAGGTGTTGAACGCGCTTCGTAATACCAGTGTTCTGAATTTGATCCAAGCTGCACACAATATGTCTTACGTTGGTTTCTACGGTAGTACTGAGGGCTGACCGTTCATGGACAATGGCAAACTACTGAACCCACAACTTGCCTAGAAAAACCATAACAGCTAAACAAAGGCTGGGGTTGGTTCTGCAACGTCGTGTAAAGGATACGCAACTAACTAGAAAGAAGGATGAACATTATACCTGTTGTAGAATATCAGTTGTAACTATGTTATTCACATACAGAGGCAGTTGCCACCAGTTTTTCTGACAACTGAATTTATCCGATGGCTGCATCGTTGCCGCTATCGCCCCAGACACCAATAATCCTTGATATCCTTGAACTAGGACAACAGCGATCATTAGTGGCGGAGTTAATCTGTGGAACAAGGTATGTAGGAGTTAATCTGTGGAACAAGGCAGGTAGGAGTTAATCTGTGGAACAAGGTATGTAGGAGTTAATCTGTGGAACAAGGCAGGTAGGAGTTAATCTGTGGAACAAGGCAGGTAGGAGTTAATCTGAGGAACAGGGTATGTAGGAGTCAGTCTGTGGAACAAGGTATGTAGGAGTTAATCTGTGGAACAAGGTATGTAGGAGTGAGTCTGTGGAAAAAGGTATGTAGAAGTTAATCTGAGGAACAAGGTATGTAGGAGTGAGTCTGTGGAACAAGGTATGTAGGAGTTAATCTGTGGAACAAGGTATGTAGGAGTTAATCTGTGGAACAAGGTATGTAGGAGTTAATCTGTGGAACAAGGTATGTAGGAGTGAGTCTGTGGAACAAGGTATGTAGGAGTTAATATGTGGAACAAGGTATGTAGGAGTTAATCTGTGGAACAAGGTATGTAGGAGTGAATCTGTGGAACAAGGTATGTAGGAGTTAATCTGGGGAGCAATGTATGTAGGAGTGAATCAGTGGAACAAGGTATTAGGAGTAAATCTGCGGAACAAGGTATGAAGAAGTGAGTCTGTGGAACAAGGTATGTAGGAGTTATTCTGTGGAACAAGGTATGTAGGAGTAATTCTGTGAAACAAGGTATGTAGGAGTGAGTCTGTGGAACAAGGTATGTAGGAGTTAATCTGTGGAACAAGGTATGTAGGAGTAAATCTGTGAAACAAGGTATGTAGGAGTTATTCTGTGGAACAAGGTATGTAGGAGTAATTCTGTAAAACAAGGTATGTAAGAGTGAGTCTGTGGAACAAGGTATGTAGGAGTTAATCTGTGGAACAAGGTATGTAGAAGTTAATCTGTGGAACAAGGTATGTAGGAGTTATTCTGTGGAACAAGGTATGTAGGAGTAATTCTGTGAAACAAGGTATGTAGGAGTGAGTCTGTGGAACAAGGTATGTAGGAGTTAATCTGTGGAACAAGGTATGTAGGAGTAAATCTGTGAAACAAGGTATGTAGGAGTTATTCTGTGGAACAAGGTATGTAGGAGTAATTCTGTAAAACAAGGTATGTAAGAGTGAGTCTGTGGAACAAGGTATGTAGGAGTTAATCTGTGGAACAAGGTATGTAGAAGTTAATCTGTGGAACAAGGTATGTAGGAGTTAATCTGTGGAACACGGTATGTAGGAGTTAATCTCTGGAACAAGGTATGTAGGAGTGAACCTGAAGAACAAGTTATGTAGGAGTTAATCTGTGGAACAAGGTATGTAGAAGTTAATCTGTGGAACACGTTATGTAGGAGTTAATCTGTGGAACACGGTATGTAGGAGTTAATCTCTGGAACAAGGCAGGTAGGAGTTAATCTGTAGAACAAGGTATGTAGGAGTTATATTGTGGAACAATGTATGTAGGAGTGAATCTGTGGAACAAGGTATGTAGGAGTTAATCTGTGGAGCAAGGTATGTGGGAGTGAATCTGTGGAACAAGGTAATAGGAGTGAATCTGTGGAACAAGGTATGTAATTGTTAATCTGTAGAACAAGGTATGTAGGAGTTAATCTGTGAAACAAGGTATGTAGGAGTTAATCTGTGGAACAAGGTGTGTAGGAGTTAATCTGTGGAACGAGGTATGTAGGAGTGAATCTGTGGAACAAGGTATGTAGGATTTAATCTGTGAAACAAGGTATGTAGGAGGTAATCTGTGGAACAAGGTATGTAGGAGTGAGTCTGTGGAACAAGGTATGTAGTAGTGAGTCTGTGGAACAAGGTATGTAGGAGTTATTCTGTGGAACAAGGTATGTAGGAGTAATTCTGTGGAACAAGGTATGTAGGAGTAATTCTGTGAAACAAGGTATGTAAGAGTGAGTCTGTGGAACAAGGTATGTAGGAGTTAATCTGTGGAACAAGGTATGTAGGAGTGAACCTGAAGAACAAGTTATGTAGGAGTTAATCTGTGGAACAAGGTATGTAGAAGTTAATCTGTGGAACAAGGTATGTAGGAGTTAATCTGTGGAACACGGTATGTAGGAGTTATTCTCTGGAACAAGGCAGGTAGGAGTTAATCTGTAGAACAAGGTATGTAGGAGTTAAATTGTGGAACAATGTATGTAGGAGTGAATCGGTGGAACAAGGTATGTAGGAGTTAATCTGTGGAGCAAGGTATGTGGGAGTGAATCTGTGGAACAAGGTAATAGGAGTGAATCTGTGGAACAAGGTATGTAATTGTTAATCTGTAGAACAAGGTATGTAGGAGTTAATCCGTGAAACAAGGTATGTAGGAGTTAATCTGTGGAACAAGGTGTGTAGGAGTTAATCTGTGGAACAAGGTATGTAGGAGTGAATCTGTGGAACAAGGTATGTAGGATTTAATCTGTGGAACAGGGTACGTAGGAGTTAATCTGTGAAACAAGGTATGTAGGAGGTAATCTGTGGAACAAGGTATGTAGGAGTGAGTCTGTGGAACAAGGTATGTAGTAGTGAGTCTGTGGAACAAGGTATGTAGGAGTTAATCTGTGGAACAAGGTATGTAGGAGTTAATCTGTGGAACAAGGTATGTAGGAGTTAATCTGTGGAACAAGGTATGTAGGAGTGAGTCTGTGGAACAAGGTATGTAGGAGTTAATATGTGGAACAAGGTTTGTAGGAGTTAATCTGTGGAACAAGGTATGTAGGAGTGAATCTGTGGAACAAGGTATGTAGGAGTTAATCTGGGGAGCAGAGTGAAATCTGTGGAACGAGGTATGTAGGAGTGAATCTGTGGAACAAGGTATGTAGGATTTAATCTGTGAAACAAGGTATGTAGGAGGTAATCTGTGGAACAAGGTATGTAGGAGTGAGTCTGTGGAACAAGGTATGTAGTAGTGAGTCTGTGGAACAAGGTATGTAGGAGTTATTCTGTGGAACAAGGTATGTAGGAGTAATTCTGTGGAACAAGGTATGTAGGAGTAATTCTGTGAAACAAGGTATGTAAGAGTGAGTCTGTGGAACAAGGTATGTAGGAGTTAATCTGTGGAACAAGGTATGTAGGAGTGAACCTGAAGAACAAGTTATGTAGGAGTTAATCTGTGGAACAAGGTATGTAGAAGTTAATCTGTGGAACAAGGTATGTAGGAGTTAATCTGTGGAACACGGTATGTAGGAGTTAATCTCTGGAACAAGGCAGGTAGGAGTTAATCTGTAGAACAAGGTATGTAGGAGTTAAATTGTGGAACAATGTATGTAGGAGTGAATCGGTGGAACAAGGTATGTAGGAGTTAATCTGTGGAGCAAGGTATGTGGGAGTGAATCTGTGGAACAAGGTAATAGGAGTGAATCTGTGGAACAAGGTATGTAATTGTTAATCTGTAGAACAAGGTATGTAGGAGTTAATCCGTGGAACAAGGTATGTAGGAGTTAATCTGTGGAACAAGGTGTGTAGGAGTTAATCTGTGGAACAAGGTATGTAGGAGTGAATCTGTGGAACAAGGTATGTAGGATTTAATCTGTGGAACAGGGTACGTAGGAGTTAATCTGTGAAACAAGGTATGTAGGAGGTAATCTGTGGAACAAGGTATGTAGGAGTGAGTCTGTGGAACAAGGTATGTAGTAGTGAGTCTGTGGAACAAGGTATGTAGGAGTTATTCTGTGGAACAAGGTATGTAGGAGTAATTCTGTTTAACAAGGTATGTAGGAGTGAGTCTGTGGAACAAGGTATGTAGGAGTTAATCTGTGGAACAAGGTATGTAGGATTTAATCTGTGGAACAAGGTATGTAGGATTTAATCTGTGGAACAAGGTATGTAGGATTTAATCTGTGGAACAAGGTATGTAGGAGTGAGTCTGTGGAACAAGGTATGTAGGATTTAATCTGTGGAACAAGGTATGTAGGATTTAATCTGTGGAACAAGGTATGTGTCAGAGCTTTGAAACGGTGATAAGTGTGTCAGGAAGGTGTGAGAAAGACAGCAGGAAAAACATTGAGAATTTATCGATTTGCAATCAAAAGTGATGAACAAAAAAATATTCTTCTTCTTCTTCTTCGCGTTCACCAGCTGTAAACTCAAGCGGAAAGTTCTGGTTGTGGATCCGTTTTACCTATCTGACTCATTTGTATGCAGACTGCTGGTTCCTTGCCTCGCAGGCAAATACACTCCGACTTGGAAGGAAGCTACCAATTAGTCGACTGTTACGACATGCTTTTGGGTATTTTCATAGCTCATGGTCGCATGCAACGCTAAGCCATTTCTTATAGCGTACATAACGTGGCCACAATCATAACCTGAAGCTCTCCCATTCGGGATGCAGGTTTAAGGTGACGATTTTATTCCCCCTCCACAAAGCCAGCAAGTTGATGGCCAACCAATCTATACGCGGTTGCCCTGGACGGGGACTCTCGGGACAACATCTGTAGATAATGGGGGAAAAAAGAACACCACACAAATAAAGTTATATTCCCACACAACTATCCGGGATGGTAACCCGGTTACCAACTGCTCGATGAAGTGGGATGTGTCCGACAAAAGGCGCAAAAATCGCAGCTTTGAGGTAAACAGGCACAACACAATTACGTCACTCAGACGAACCAATAGAAGAAGAAGAAATCTTGAAGTAGCATCCTGTCTTAGAACGAATCTTTGGACCTATTAAAGATGCAAACAGCGGGGAATGGAGAGTGAAAAGCAATAACGAAATTCATAATCTGTTAAAATCACCACTGATCACTGGCATCATGAGAGCTAATAGACTGAAATGGTTGGGGAGTATTGAAAGAATGTCAGACAGAGAAGTAAAAACTGTATGCACATAGGAGATGAATGGTCGTAGACCACGAGGCAGACCAAGAAGAATATGGAGAGATAATGTCCAGACAGAACTGCAAACACGTGACTGGAAAAAGAGGGCCAACCAGAGAGATGAATGGAGGCGGGTGATATCTGCAGCAATGAACCTCAAGGGCTCGAAATGCTGAAGAAGAAGAAGCATCCCGGTGCGGATAAAGAAGGAATAAACTGCGGGGAAAAAAGCCGGCCACTACTGCCTTTTTCTACCAGTTTAGCGGTGTAGTCATAGGTCGTTGATTCGGACACTTGAAGAGGAGATATGCACCACAAAGCAAACCCATTGCCCGCTGAAATGTCTGTTGGTTTTGCGGGACATCAGGGTTCTCTTTTGGCACTAGATATGATTTATTCGAAGATTCCTTTAAAAAAAATCGTTGACAGCCACAGAAGATGCGAAGGCTTGTAGACAAAAACGTTAGAAAGAACTTTTAGGGAAGCTTGTTAAACCAAATCTTCGAGACCTCAATAAATTGAGATACAAACAGACATAAACACAGATCTTTCATATTGTTTGTAATAGTATATTAGAAAAAGGAAATAGGAACATTTTTCGATCACTGGAAATATCTGTGTAATGAGATACAAAGGAAGCCAGCACGAGCAGATTCTTGACAACCTTTTGTCAAAACATGGAGGGGTGTCAGCACACGAACAGGTACATGCTGTTGATCATCACAAATCGTTTAGAGGCATGATCGTCCACATCAGTCGGCAATGTACATGATGATGATCTTCTTCTTCTTCTTCTTCTTCTTCTTTTTCTTCTTCTTCTTCTTCTTCTTCTTCTTCTTCTTCTTCTTCTTCTTCTTCTTCTTCTTCTTCTTCTTGTTCTTGTTCTTGTTCTTCTTGTTCTTCTTGTTCTTCTTGTTCTTCTTCTTCTTCTTCTTCTTCTTCTTCTTCTTCTTCTTCTTCTTCTTCTTCTTCTTCTTCTTCTTCTTCTTCTTCTTCTTCTTCTTCTTCTTCGTCTTCTTCTTGTTCTTGTTCTTGTTCTTGTTCTTGTTCTTCTTGTTCTTGTTCTTGTTCTTCTTCTTCTTCTTCTTCTTGTTCTTCTTCTTCTTCTTCTTCTTCTTCTTCTTCTTCTTCTTCTTCTTCTTCTTCTTCGTCTTCTTCTTTCTTCACCGGCTGTAAGCTCTGGCGAAAAGTCCTGGTTGTTCTTCCATTTTGACTTTGGCTTTTGCATGTATATCCGTTTGACTTGCTTATTTCTCTGCACTTGGTTGTTTGTGGCCGCTCGGGCAGATGCTTCATAGAAAGCCCCATTTTAGTCGACTCTTACGACAAGCTTATTGGAGTGGCAGTGGATCTATTTGTTTTCCCCATACAATGGAGCCCCGGAACTCACACGGGGATGATGATGATGATGACGATAATAACAGCGATGACATAAAATTAGTAACATTAAAGAGAGTAGATAATGGACTGTACCTCCAGTAACGATGCAGGAAGAAGTACCTCCAATTGAACGCCCATCCTTTTTCCATGACCGGTTTGAGCCACTTGTGTGCAACAAGAAAACCACTGGGGGATACAACACAATGGGTAACATTAGAATGTAAGCATCAATTTCAGGCCTGACAGGTGTTAGCAATCAAGGACTGCTGGCCAAAACTGGCCTGTTGAGCAATTTTTACTGGCTAGGCATACTGGTGTAAAATTACAAAAATAATGTGGCCATTTGGCTCACAAAATAGCAGAACACAAAAATGCATTAAAAATATATCCAAATACCAAATTTATAAAAAAACTAATAAAAGAAATGATAACCTAAACAACAATAACCAGAAACTAATGTAGCCAAATCTTTGATTCAGCTGGTGAAACACGTGTTGCAGATACACATGATAGCGTTTATAATCGGCGGACTGTGAGAGTATACTGTTAAAAAAATCTCACGGAAAGCCCTACTCCTAGCAACTGTCGATGCGCAAGAACGCTGAGCCGACTGGTTGAACCCAAATGTATTCTTGTGCGCACTTTGTACAACGGTGATTACATTACAAGGATATTAAATGTCAAAATCATGGACACAATTATGTTCTTTTCAGTAGCAATTATTTTTTACATAAAAAAAAAAAAAAAAATTAAATATAAGACTACACATTAAGGAGTATATAGATGCGCTTCAGTGGGTGAATGTGTCTGGCCAAAGGTGTAGTCAGAGATTTTTATTTTAGATTATTCCACAAAAATAAAGTGTTACTATATGGCCCGCGACCAGGTTAGTAGTTCTAAATTTGGCCTACCGACCACCTTAGGTTACCCACCCCACGATGTAGGCAGTACCTTCACTGGACATTATTATCCAGACTAGGTTTTCTGAAGCTTACTTTTGCGATCCCTGTTCGTCTTTGTCTTTCTTTCTACTGTCTCCATCTCCTGCTTCCCGTACTCCTCCTCCTCGCCCTCCTCCTCCCTCCACTTCTCCTCCCCTCCCCCTCGTCATCTCCCTGAGAAATCATATATTATTATGTGTAGGAAGTGTGTGAGAGAAAAGATGTTGTGTGGACACGTATGCGTGAAGACTGATGGTTGTGGGGATGCGTAAGGGCCTAATGCTTTTAATTACTGTGTGCATTGCTCCAGAGTGTGTGAACGACTGTGAAAGATTATTTGTGGATTGTGGCATGTACGGTAGGTATTGCTGTGTATTGTGGATTGTGACATGTACGGTAGGTATTGCTGTGTATTGTGGATTGTGCCATGTACGGTAGGTATTTCTGTGTGAAATTTTCTTTGAGAGGAATGCTGTTTATTTCTAAGAAAAATTGTATGTGGTGGAGATTAAAAGCAACTGACCTGAGAGTGAAGAATGTATCCACGGCGTAATGCAAGTTCAAGATAATGCGGTACGCGTGCCAGTTATAGATGTCAGGCAATGCTTGTTCGACATTGTCTTCAAGAGAAAGATAGAAGCAAATACATAATTTTAAAAATAAGTGTCACAAACTGGATTGAACAATGAAAGGAGGGGTAGAGGCAGACCAAGAGAGACGATGCTGGATGAGCTGAAACGATGGCATGCAGGGGTATCATCAAGAGAGCTGTTTCAGGAAAACATGAGCGCCAACGCCGGTTGGCAGGGCACATGATGATGATGATGATGATGATGATGTCACAAATAAAGTCAGATTTGTTGCTGAGATGACTGCGTTTTCTCCCTCAAGGTGGTTACTAAAAAATAATTATTTATCTACCCCTCCTTTCTTGTACTATGCCTTCTGCTATTTGTATTTTTGTTTCGGAGCCAGACTTCTTTTTCCCCCAAAAGGACTTTTACTCCCATGTCGACCCAGTCCTAAATAAAGTCCCAGGAAGTAAAGACGCCTCGCTTGATGTTAATCAAATGAACTACCGAGTGCCGATTGATCTGAATTTATAGGTCTATGCAAATATAGAAAATACACCCGAAGGCGTGGAAAAGGTTTCTTTAATTTTTTTTTTTAGGCTTCAAAGCCGTAGTGATTATTTCCACCTTCATCTCTATGCTTGTGGTTTCACATAAATAAATATCTAGAATGTGATATATCACTAATTTAAACCAACGTATGTGACAATATATGTTGTCACTATACGTCTACTAAGGTTGTTGCGTATCCTTTACATGACGTTGCAGAACCAACCCCAACAGCCTCTGGCTATTGTGTGGTTTTTCTAGGCAAATTACGTCCAGTAGTTTGCCATTGCTTGCTGGACGATCGGCTTTCTTGATACCACTGTCAAAACCAACGCAAGGCGGATGGCCCGCAGCTGGAATCGAACCCGGCATCCCGGCATTACGACTCGTTCGCATCGACTTAGCCACAGAACCGACTAATACGTCTACTACACAAGTTAATTAGTTAGTCGACAAATTACCTTCATTGTCCATCGGAATGTTCAGTCCATAAATGCTCGAATGCTCTCCTTATTCTTCTTATTCTCTTCGTTCAAAGGCTGTGAATAATGGCGAAAGGTCTCAGTAGTTCGTCCGTCTGGACTTTTGGCTTTTACCTGGGCCTGCGTTTTTCGTTTACATCGTTTTACTGTTTTTTTTTTTTTGCCGTTCCCTGTCTCACCGGCAGATGTACTACGACTTCGAGAGAGCTCTCCTTAGTAAATCCCGCAGCGTGCAGGGGCTGGCGGCACCAGTTCTGTGTTGGTTTTCTATTCTTCTTTGTCGTCTTGTGCAGCGATTTTTTTTTTAGCCACACAGTTTTTAATATGCTGTTTGCGCAATCCGGTCATGGTTAAAGATTCACAGTCACCACTTGGTTCTCGCAAATGCCTTACTTCTCGTAGAACTTTCAGTAGATCAGCCTAGGCATGGCCTGTTTACTCTCTATCAGCTTGCTCATTTCCTCGCATGCCTTGCTCTAGCACGAATATAAAACTGGTGTTTAGACCATGCTAAAACACTGTGGTCCCTATGTGGGTTGCAATGTTTAGTTATTTTGAAGCCCCACCCTGGCTTTTGCCGAGGGCCCTAAATATAGCCGGGCCCTAAATATGGCCTAACGGCTGAACGGGGTTTACGGAACCTCACTGCCGGTGATCCTCATCCGCATGGTGGCACATTGTGTCACTGGGTATTCATCGCTTGTGTGATGTCCTGGTAGGGTACAACTTACCTACCAACCTAGTTTCGACCATCCCCAAGACCCCAACCACTTTTTTCGGACCCACTTTGGATGTACTAGACAAGCAAAGTATATATAAAGCTAAGAGAATTGTACACACATAAGAATAACAAACGGTCTTACCAGAAAAGGACATGAGCAAGAAACTTAGTGTGTGTCCCGTAACAATCCATGCCATGGAAAGGAATCGAATCCCAGAGATAACAGCGATGTTGTCTCTAGTCTGCGATGTGCTCAGAAGCCTCTTCCCATTGGTCCATGCCGAAAACGACAGCAAAAATGTGATCAAGACACCTGAATGGCGGACAGTTTTATAGAGTTATTTGAATGTAGACCTTCCTGCACCAAATCCAGAATTAATCGCATGTAGAGCTCCCTGCACCAACCCCAAAATTAATTAATTGGCTGTTATTTGATTTTTCTATGCAATCTTATGTTCAACAGTTTGCCATTAAACTTTAAGAGGGCTGTTGTTAAAATGCCGGCGTGGTGGGTAATAAACAGGTAGACAGATTGGTTGGATCTGCACCACTGGGGGAGGGGGAGGGTGAACTGATACATGACATGGCAGATGTGGTCAAGGTCCTTTGGGAACAAGCAACGGAATCAGTAGAGATAGAAGATTTTTATGGCCTGGAGAGAATGAGGCACCTGGGTGTAATCAGAGGATCTGGCCGACTCACTACACTCAGAGGAAAAGCAACACGGACATATAACCAGATTGTGACCCGAACAATCAGCATTGGAACTCTGCGCTGGCTGCTGAAGAAGAGGACGAAGCACGAATGGGAATGCCCCGAGTTCTGTGATGTCAATTCTTACTGAACTTGTTAAAATGAACCAAAGGTGTTGATTCCATCTATGACATTGAAAGCACTTTACATGATAGTTAGGAATGGAGTACTAGTTTGTGAGCCTTATGTGGCTTGAACATCACAACAAGTTGAGAATGATGGGTTTGCCATTGCTTTCTATGCAGTACAGCCACCCATACTATTACCCAAGTCAACGCAAAGCGGTCTCCAACCAAATGGCGAGAAAGCCCTGCATAGAGTGATAGTTACCTTGAATCGAGGATGTGAGGAATAGATATATTGTGCCACAGAGGACTCGGTGCAAGAACTGGTTAATGAAAATTCACGTACTGGGAATCTCTCTCTCTCTCTCTCTCTCTCTCTCTCTCTCTCTCTCTCTCTCTCTCTCTCTTTCTCTCTCTCTCTCTCTCTCTCTCTCTCTCTCTCTCTCTCTCTCTCTATATATATATATATATATATATATATATATATATATATATACATACATACATACATACATACATACAGATCTGTAGATTGGATGGGGTTTCACCGCAAATGAGACTGGCAGTTTTCAGAGTGAACACTGAGAGAGAGAGAGAGAGAGAGAGAGAGAGAGAGAGAGAGAGAGAGAGAGAGAGAGAGAGAGAGAGAGAGAGGATCCACTTAGTTCATCTTGCACATTTATACAAGGTCACCCCCCCCCCCCCCAACTCCTCTTTCACATTCCCTAAACATATTTTTTCGCTCAAGCGGTCTAAGCGCCCAGGATTTCACGACAATGTCTGTTTCCTACGTACAGACTGCACCAGTGATGACAGTTTAGTACACAAGAAGCAGCTAGCAATAAAGAATTGTAAATAAAATTTTATAGTTTTAACAAAAACAGTAGTAATGCAGTAGGCAGGTAGGCGATTTGCTGGAAAAAAAATCGTCACTTTCAACCAGCATCCCCGAAGGGTAAACTTTAGGTTATAATTGTGACTACGTTAAGTGAGCCTTTTAAAATGGCTAAGCATTGCAAGCCACCAAGAACCCTGAAAAGAACTCCTGCAGTGTTGATGCGATCAAAGAAGACAGACCCAAAAATTGTCCCGACCAGCGGTGACATCATCTACCGGCGAGCCAATGGACCACCCGGTCGCCGATGATCATGCAGTTAATGTACAAACGGCATAATCGTAACACGCAGGACAATACAAATTAAAGCACTATGTGTCACCATTTTCCTTTGCAGACACTGCCGTTATACTGTTTGCTTTCTGTGTTTGATTGCTTTCCTGATGTGTGACAGGAGTCAGTTTGTTATTCTGCTGAGCTTGATGGGGAGAGGAGGCACAGTCTACCATGCAGACATCTAATGTCGAACCAGCTGCAGTCAGAATTAGAATAACAGCAGATATCGCTCTGAAGGAGAGAAAAAAAAAATCAATTAACTTCGGTTTTTATTTGATGGACATTAAGTGATGTCTGGAAAAGTGTATTCCAACTTAAAAGATTTTTTAAAATGTTAACATAAAACAGTCTAGAATAAAACTTTTTTTTTATGGATGACAAAATGACAGAAGGAACAAGGAATAAGCATGATAGAATGTACACCTAGACAGCATCACTCCAAACAAGACGTAATTAAAAGTTTTTTAAATTTTCTAAGTTGTTTTTTAATTTGTTTGTTTTGTCCTTGATAAAGACTCTATTTGAAAGTTTCCGTTGTCACTGTGAGGGTCTTTTCCTTTCCCTATTTCAACTTTAGAAGCAGCAGTGGCACAGCGACTAGTCGCTCCCCACCTGGGCCAAAGATCTTGTGGTCGAAACCTCATCGAATCAGTCACCCCCCTTCCGTCCTTTTCAAACATGACTTTTGCTCCTATGTCGACCCACCCTAAAATGTGCAGGAAGTAAAGTCCTGGGAAGTAAAGGCGGTCAGTGTGATGTTGACCATATCACCCGCTGATTGCTGATTGGTATATAAAAAAAGGGGCTAGCATCAAATACTAGATACGCCATTGGTATAAAAAAGGGTCCTTTAGCTTTATTTTCCTGACTTCATGTTGAGCTTTCTACTGCTTGTGGTTTGTTTGGTTATATCTTGATCTCATTCTGCTGCAGTCTCTCTTATCTAATGACAAGTGACGACCAGGAAGAAAATAAGGGCCTTTGAGCTGATATGCTAATGAAAGTTCTCAGAATACCACGGAAAGAGAGAGAGAGAGAGAGAGAGAGAGAGAGAGAGAGAGAGAGAGAGAGAGAGAGAGAGAGAGAGAGAGAGAGAGAAATGAAATAAGACATTTTAAATGATCTGAACATCAAGAAAGATTGACTATTAAACAGCATCTTGTCTCCGAAGCTGAGCTTTTTTTGACCATATCAAAGTGCCAATTCGAATTAGACAACATGATAGCAGAAGGCATGCTACTAGGAGGGAGGGGCAGGGGTTGACTACGAAAACGGACACAAGATATAAATGAGTCCTTGAATATGAAGGTACAAAAGGCAAGAGAGCTGTTAAGACACCGAGTTTCTACTAGGCACACCGCGACAACAGCGATGTTCTGCAAAGGACCTGCTACATAATGATGATTATGATCATCATAGTACTCTGGTCTGATTCAAAAGTGCTCCGAACTCCTTCTCAACAGCTTTGTGCTGAATGATTAAATATCGTGTCATCGTCATCTGGCAACACTGCGTGACGTTGGGTCACCAGTTGCTGTTGACTTTCTTATCAGCTCCTTCCACCTTTGACGGTCAGATATACCGGACTTCATGGCTTCATGCCTAAGGCCTGTCAAGACAGTCAGGTTCTGCATTCAGGTCTTTCTTAATCTGCCTCTTCTCCTCTTCCCTTCTATTGCGCCACGCATTATTGTTTTTGAGAGACCGTTAGATCTTATTACATGTCCGTACCTGCGCCACGCATTATTGTTTTTGAGAGACCGTTAGATCTTATTACATGTCTGTACCTGCGCCACGCATTATTGTTTTTGAGGGACCGTTAGATCTTATTACATGTCCGTACCTGCGCCACGCATTATTGTTTTTGAGAGACCGTTAGATTTTATTACATGTCCGTACCTGCGCCACGCATTATTGTTTTTGAGGGACCGTTAGATCTTATTACATGTCCGTACCTGCGCCACGCATTATTGTTTTTGAGAGACCGTTAGATCTTTTTAAATGTCCGTACCTGCGCCACGCATTATTGTTTTTGGGAGACCGTTAAATCTTTTTAAATGTCCGTACCAATGCAGGTTTATTGTAGCCTTGTCGTGTATCGTAAACCGTTTGTGAAATACACATGTCTGGTAGCTCTGGGTTGCACACCCCCCCCCCTCCCTCCCCCATATCCATCAGCCTGGACATCGATACAGAGTTATTCCTTTAGCCGTATTCGTTTTCGCGATCTGCATTACATATGTCACTGATGATATCACACGTGGCTCTAAGTTTCTACTGTGCAAACATATTGCTGGCATTTCTGTGAGAGATCTTTACGGCAGATAAATCATTTTTTGTTTCTGTGTGTGTAGCTGTATCCATGCCCGTTTTGTAGAATATGCTGATGAAGGCTTTCCAGCTGCAACGCTGATTTGTCGTTCGTAATATGTCCAGTATCCTCAAAGTAACTACAGCATCTGCCAGATTATCTCACGGTTTTGGTCTCGAACACCCGCATAACCTGGCATTTCTTTACTCTTTTAAAAGCCATCTTTCCAAACAACTGCACATGTTCCAGTTTTCAGTGTTTTTATTCGTACATGACTGCAGTTACGACTGGAAGATGTCTCCATTACGGTTGCCTTGGTAATAACTTCATTGAGGGTCTGGGAGCTGGTGGTTGGTCTGCTGTCCTGAGATCTCATGATGAAACAGTCTGTACAGACTACTATCAAAAATATGTCCCTTCTATCTGCAGTTGCCACTTATAAGAGCGGTGTAGACCGGGGTCGGAAGCTTGAGGATTGAGGGTTGCAAGGCTAGTGCTGTTGCCATGGATTGTGCAGATTTTGATGTTTAATTTTGCCCCGACATAAAAACTTCATCGGCTTACCGAGGTCGAACCCCGGGTCTCCTGCATGAGAGCCTGACGTTGCAATCGCTCGGCCAGCCGCTCCTCATATGAACTACACTGCCGGATAATGATGATTCTCTTATCCTAACACGATTATATGACATTGGAGTGAAGCCTGGTAAAGCACGTAAGTGCCATCTTCAAGGTCAAGATATATGACATTGTAACCAACTTCTCATGGGACACAGTCAGAAGAGTTACCATATGCAAAGCTCAGTGTGAAGTGACGTCGACTAAAAGAGCAAAACATGACACAGTACCCTAGGTTCATGCTTGCTTCCTCACAGTTGGTTTGTTGGTACTTTTTTTTAATGTACCCCAAACAAAGAAAATCCCGGAGTTCCCGGGGAAAGTCCAATGTTTTAGGGGCATTATCGGTTGAGGTTAGGGTTGGAGTTTGCGTTATAATTAGGTTATGGATAGGGTGAGTTTGTGTCTCTGAGACGGTAAGTAAAGTAAAGGAAAGATCCCTTTTCACGCCTTAGGCGAGTCGGGTATATGGGAAGAGCGTCTCATATTTTTACAGACCAATCGGCACTGAATGGGTTATGTGGTCAGCATTACGCGGACCGTCTTTACTTCCACAGGACAGCCACCATAGTACCCATTTTAGGCTGTCTGAGGCGGTAGGTGCTGACCAAGATCCCAACCCCAACTCTAAACCCAACCCATAACATCCCTAATATACTGGACTTTCCTAGAAACACCGGGATGCCCTTTGTTTAAATCTACAACATCAGTCAATACACCACTAAAATGTTTGGAATCAAGCAACAGCGTTGGGTCTAATTTGATCATGTCTGATAGAGCATTAATTTTAGAAACAGAATTAAGTAATTTGCATAATAAACCACGTGTAACTACTCACATGGCTAATTTTGTGAATATGTCATACTCTTTTTCCTCAGATCGACAGTCAACAGAAGCCACCGCGAAGATTGAGCTGAAAATTAGTGACTGTATTCCTATTGAGGAGATAAGTAAAATGAACATTCATTTGTTCTGTGGTGATCCAATATATGTGGCAGCTTCAGATGAAAACTTAAAAAGTTTATAGAAATTACAATAATAACTTGTCATTGTCTTGTAACCTGTCAGTATTGTTGTTAAGGATGTCAAGAGTATTAAGTACGTGACAACACGGCGTGGACAAACATTGTGACGTCATAATGGCAGTTTAAATATGGCCACCCAACTTTTGACATGCTCCAAAGAGGATCGCTACTCTATGTGGCTTTAAAAGAATCTCACGATTTGTGTATTGGGTAGAAATATATATTAATGCAATTATTTACACTTCATTTCCTTCAAAAAAGTTATCTCTAGTAACTACACACTTTTGCCAAAGTTCATACAGTTGTGTAAACATTCCTGAATCACATTCTTTAACACTTCTTTCGGCTGCTTTGTCACATTGGCAATAACGACCTAGGCATTTTTGAATCGCTGCCCTTTCAGCACCGAATTTAGGCAAGGGAACAACCCCCCCCCCCCCCCCCCCCCCCCCCCCAAAAAAAAAAATTCACCATTGTCATGTCGGAAAAATATGAACAGTTAAAAAATCTGAACATCAAGTAAGATTAGCTAATAAACATCATCTTGTCTTTGAAGCTGAAATAATTTGGTCATATCAAGCGCCATGGCGGATTGGAAAACAATAATAGCAAAAGGCTTGATATCAGAAAGGAGGAGTTGCAAGAAACAGATTCTCTTTCAAGTAGAAAGCGATGAAAGCAACGTTCTGCAAAGAAGAAGAAAAAACATGATAATATAGGTGTTGTTCCAACAATTCGTATAATCTCTTCGGAACTCACATGATTTCTTCTAGTTTTGTTCACGGCCTTTCAATATCAGAATCAGATGTTCTAAATAGGCACACATGTATGGCATTTCTAATCTTCAGAATTATTCCTGATTCTCAAGGTTGTCCCCTGCTATTTACTCTAGGAGACATTTTTGTTGAAAAAAAAAAAAAAAAACACACATTATAAAGGAGATGTACTCACTTTCCTGAAAAAGCCGGGTGATGTCCTCCCCAGTGCAGGTGTCAGGCAGACAGACACCTACGTTGATGAGGTGAGTTGTCATCAAAATCATGGTTCTGGGCTGTAGTTAGAAAATCTACGCAGTCTCACCAATAATGTTTGCACACTTTCAGTTATAAACAATATTCTTCTTCTTTTTATAGTTCACGCTGTGTGGAGTTGGTATTCATGTCAATCCATAAGTTTATGTCTCGTGTACTTTCGATGAATTCTGACACAGCTGATCTTCCGTACCATAGTGTCAAACTGTCCAGCATCTTTTCTCTCGGTCTTCCTCTGTCTCTTCATCCTTTCAACCTTCTCATCGTCATGATTTACTCGCTTTTTTCTTCTGATGACATGACCAAAGAATGTAGATTATCTCCTTCTGACATGGGCAATCAGTTTTCTTCATGAAGACTTACTGACGTTTAACCATACCAGGACATCACATTGAGTGATAAATATCCGGTGACACAAAGTGCCACCATTCGGTTGAGGTTCACCCGGGGATAGGTTTCGCAAACCCCGCTCAACCTATAGGCCCCCTAGGTTATGAAATATAACGTATATTTAACAGCTTCTCTGCTGCTATTTTGATGGCTTGAACTTCTGCATTATAGTTATGACAAAGCTTTTCTTTAGGTATTTTAGCTGTATATCTGGTATTTTTTGGATGCTCAATATACACTCCTGTTGCATTGTGTGCTTACCCATCTATATAGACACGATTCTGTGGGTATTCATCATTAAATAGAGCGAGGGTGGCTGTTTTACGTTGCACACTGTTTTGTTCTTGCTTGTCGAAAACTCCTTTGACTTCTGTCTGGATGTGTATTGGCAACATAAGGTTCTATAAGAGGTTCTATCTGGAATAGCATTTAAGGGGCTATCAGTTGCAGGCAGATCATTGGTTTGCCGGCAGAGTCGTTGGGCCTGGTGGATAAACCTGTTTCTTTTTAGTCGCCCCATTGCCAGATTGTTATGTCCTTCGTGCCCCTTTCTGTTGTCCTTCTCCTGGTTTGCTTAGGTCGCCCACATCTTCCTTGTCCATCTGCCGGCATCAAAGAGCTATCCTTGCCAAAGTGCAAGGAGTAAGTAAAGGTTCCCTTTCCACGAATTTAGACGAAGAGGGCACATAGGGCTAGACCTATTTTTTATATACCAATCGGCACAAGATGGATGATGGGATTAGCATCGCGCCGGCCGCCTTTACTCCCCGAGACTGCACCCGATACCCAAGACTGAGTCTACCTCTAAGTCAAGGTCATTTTTGAAAACGTCCGGCTTCGCCAGTGAGCGAACCCACGACCTTCCGATCCGCACGTGAGCGATTAGCCGCTAAGCCACAGCGACTCCCAAAGTGCCAGGAGGCATTCTGCAAATATATTCAAGTCATCTCAATTTTCTTCTTTTGATAACATTTCGAGTAATTAACATTGTGTTTAAACTTACCACAGGGTGAGTCAAATTCAGCAACACCACAACACAGTAGTTTCCTTTGAACCCAGCACGATCAGCTGTATCAGGCGCTCTGGTCTCCTTACATTGAGAGTAACTTCCCGCAAACATCGAGCGTCCTTGCAGCAGCGATGGCCCTGGTGTAGCCCAAGCATCAAACACTGTGTAAATAATGCATTTGTCATTAAAAAAAATTTTGAAAAAAAATAAAAATAAAGACATAAACAATAAGTCAAGCAAAAATCACTTTTCACGCCTTTAGGCGCATCGGTCATGTGAGAAGAGCACCATATTTTTACAGACCATTCAGCACTAGGTTAATAATGTTGTCAGCATTACGTCGGCTGTCTTTACGTCCCTAGGAAATACATCCTCGTAACCATCTCAGGCTGGGTCGACCTGCGACGCCCGATACCTTGAAAAAAACCCACACAGCCAGAAGTGGGTTTCGATCGTGGTACGTTGGAATTACGAGTCGGACTCGCAAGTAAACAATAGATTGCACAATTTATTGCCTGGTTCATTTCGCTGCCTTTCGTCAAGGGGTTGCATCGTCCGTACACGTACAGTACTGACTGTCGCACCTGACTGGTGTAACCTTACTGGTGCCCAAATCGTTACGTCTTTGGAGGTTAAACGGGATATGTGTGATCTGCCTTGTTGATCTGCCGTCCAGATTGTATTCTGTCTAAATCTAAGGATGCTATGATAAGCATTTAGGTAGCCGCCAGGAGGGGACAGTCTGATCGATCGTTCGTCTGGTATATATTACAGTAACAGTAATTAAACAAATAAAGCAAATAATTCTACCATTCACAAAATTCAGTATCGGTTTTGTATTTCGGTTTCAGCCTAACCCTTCCTCTTTGAGTGGATGATTTTGTATTTTCAGCCTCACCCCAGCCCCTCCTTCGCCCCTTTCCCCTCCACGCCCCTTTTCCTTTTCCAACCCTCCTACTTTTATACTCCTTCCACTACTATTACAGCTACTGCTGCTGCGGTTCTGCTACTTTTATACTACTGTTACTGCAACTGCTGCGGTTTCAGTACTACTGTTACTATTACTGCAACAGCTAATGCTGCGGTTCTACTACTAATTGTATGCTACTGCTACTACTACTGCAACTGCTGCGGTTGTGCTGCTATTGTTACTATTACTGCAACTGCTGCAGTCCTATTGCTACTTTTATAGTACTGTTACTACTACTGCAACTGCTGCGGTTCTACTACTACTTTTATATTACTGTTACTACCACTACTCCTGTTGCTGCTACCACCACTGCCACTACTCATACTGCTACAACGACCACCACTACATTAATACATTAGGCAATAAATATAAGTTTTATAATAAATTATGTATAACTTACATTGCAATGCCCACAGCTCATCACTTTGATAGCCAATTATAGCTCTCTCTACATCGAGTTCACATGATGATGATGCCTGTGTGCGTTTAGGCCAAGTGCCGACATCGTTCCATGTGCTGACAAGCAACTGCAGTGCTTGCTGGCTTCTGTAACTCCCTCTATGCCTGTCTGAAAACACATATCGTTACTGGTTACATGTGTCATTACTGGTTATATGTGTCATTACTGGTTATATGTGTCATTGATGGTTATATGTGTCATCATTGGTGATATTTGCCATTGCTAAATTTATGTGTCATTACTGGTGATTTG